CCAAACCGTGCGGTCAATCCCCCAAAAATTGAAGCCAATATCAACCGATTAAACGTAATTCGTATCAAGCTCTCTCTAAACTCCTGCAAATAAAGCAATCTCGCCTAACCTCCCAGCGAAACACATTAGAAGATGAAACTGTATCCGTAACTTAATCTGAAGCTTTTGATCCGGCACTCAACGTAAATTGATCGAATCTTCGAAACTCAATCGTCACTCCCCTTTCACATCGACTGGGAAACTAAAACCCCGATATTTTCCATCGTTTTGCGACCGTTAAGAGATTACGGATTTCGTCTGTGATACGGGGGCCAACGGGAGAGAAATCCGAGGGTGAGTGAGTGACGATGAATGAGTGAGAGACCTCTCTCCCCCTGCCCTTGCGCTTCGTTTTAGAGCCATTATGTCGTCGAGGGCTCGCGCATTCGATGAAGCAGTCTGAGGGTAGGAAGGTAGATAAGAGATGGAGAGAACGAAAAACCCGAGAGAGATGGTACAATGGGAGAGGGTCGAGGCGAATGCCGAGCTTGCGAAAAGGGTGGCCGTTGATGCGTACAGTCGTGGCTGGCTGCCTCGCCAAATGCATTAAGACTCACCCCCTCGTCCCTCCACGGCATCACCCACCCCAGACGTACATCCCGTCGCAATATTTTTCCCGTGCAATTCGTAGATTGTCCCCGCGGTACACTGGTTTATGCATAGCAGGTGAAATTCAACGATCGTGTTCTCTCGTACGAGCCGGAATTTATGGCGCAGTGCTCCAATAGGGGGCATGATAACGGATGACGCCGGCGGGGGGTGACGAGTATTTTACTCGGGGGGGTTATTAGCTGAGGGCCAACGGTAGAGAGTTCCTCAGTAGAGATCATCTTTCGATTTTTTTAAATTCGATTTGTAGAAAATATTGTGGTAAATCGCGAATTTTTCAGGCATTTTAAGGACATTTTTGGGGTTTTTAACAGTGATTCCATGAATAATTGCTATCGAATTCAATGAACTAATAAAAAAAATATGTATTTTTTTTTTATTTCAAATAAAAATCCCGCTTTAGTTGATTCTATTTGCATTGTTAAAAATTTTTGTCTGAATTTTTCGTGCCAAGGAAATCTTGTCATTGAAAATGCAGAATTTCGTGGAAAAATCAAACAGAACTGTAAATTCCCGTTCCATTTTTCCCTGAAAATGAATTGAAAACCAGAAAATTCTGGAATTTTAGTGAATTTTCAGTGAAATCAGAAATTTCATAATTCTTCTACCAATTTTCACTGCCCTGAAAATTGGTAATCATCTGTCCACGAAATTTCATTTTTTTTCCAACAGTACATCATCAATTTTACCGAAAGAAATGGAAGCGTCTTTTTATTGCACCAGAAATGACTGAAAAATGAAGAATAAAACGATCTTTGACTGTCACATGAAAAGGTCCCCATTAATCGTCCCTTTGACTACATCTTTCCCTTCAATTCAGACAAATAAAAAATCTTCCTCATACCCCAGAGAAATGGCTCATTCCAATAAAATGAAACTGTTCAGTCAGAATTTTTCAATTCAATTCAACAACATTTTAATCAAAAAATGTCGCCTACACAAAATAAATAATTCATTCATTCCAACGAATCAACGTCACATTTTTATCCTAAAAAACTATTTATTTGACGTAGATGAAAACGTAAACAAAAATCGACTCCAATGCTCCATAAGAACCTCATTGCAATCTTCAAAAATAAACCCATTCACTCAATCCGAATAAATCATTTCTCCGGGTGTAAAAGAACAATGAATTCCTTCACATTACAATTGCCGCACGGAGCCCCAGACAATTTAATCCCCCGCTCGAAGTAGAAGACATCGTAGAAGTCAAAGAGACACGATAATACGCGGAAGTGAGTGCTGATGCTTTTCCAGGATTACAACCCCTGCGGCTCCTTGTAATCCGATCCCGCTGAAACTTTTGTGAACTAGTACGTGCGAATCAAATTCTTTGTGAAGAATCCACTGAGTTAGAAATTATCCGACGAATCCGTGTCTCAATCTCGGGACGACGAGATGTTTTTCCATGTTCATATGACTCTGATGAAAGAAATTGGAGTAGAAAATATTCATCTGTCTACTTAGCGCCAAAGGGAGCAGTAACCACACGTTGTTCAATCCCCCCCACCGCCGCTGCCATCCAGTCCCGCCACTTCATCGGGATGAGCGCTTTGAAAAATCGATAAGCCCAGAGAGGCTCGATCCGACGTCGGCTCTCTGGCAGGCCATATCTTGATTAAAATCAGCGTGTGCCATCCTCTGCCGCCCGTTCCTCTCTTTCTTTCGAGTCTATGTACTCGTTACAGCCCCCGAGAGCCCGAGGAGAGGAGCTTCTGTCCAACTATCCAACTATCTGACCTTTTCTTTTTGAGGAGGGGAATTTCGGTTAGTCTCGTTAATGCTCTCATTTCAACGAACAGTCAAAGCGAGGAAAGTTTTTTGCTGAGGGGAGAGGGTGAGGGATAATTATTTGGCTTGGAGAGACATTTTTTGGGCTCTCGGTTATGGGAAATTGCAATTAAATTGCGGATGTATAAAGTTTTTAGAAAACAGGTTTTTTTTCATTTTCATTTCCAACACTTATGTTGTATTATTTTATTATTATCATATATATTTTTTATTTTTTATTTTATTTATTTAGGCTTTTTTTATTTAAGCATATCTGAATAATTACATTTCAATTTGCACATTTCGAACTAAATTTCAAATACATCACAGAAATGCGTCACAGAATTTCCATTCGGAAGCAAATTGCCAATTTATTATGTCATTATTAAAATTACCAATTAACATTTCTAATTTATTATTTAATTATTGTTGGAATTATTATATGAGTGAGACGTAGATGAAGGCAAAAAGCCATCTCTAATGAGTTCATTTTTCTTGGTATGGATTGTATGTTTAATAACACCGGAGTCAGGGTGTTTATAAGAATTTTGTTTAGTCTCAGTAGAGTGGAGGAGTGGGATGAATGCCTCTTTATGGACCAGATTTTTGACCAGAGTTCGTCACCAATTTCTTTGTGTCGAATCAGTCTCTCGGAGAGCTTTGAAGAGTAAAGACGTGCCCTCATTAATAAAACCAGTTAAATTCAGTAGTGAAGCGGTAAACCGAGTTAAGTCGATTTTGACTATTAGCCAGTTTTTGCTGAATATCTCGGAATCTAAGGGAGATAGCAAAATTTTTCTCATGACTTTTTTTATTACGCTCTATTGGCTCTACAAAAAAGGTCATGACAAAAATCTTTCTATCTCTTTTAGATTCCGAGATATTCGTCAAAAACTAGCCAATAGTAAAAAACGACTTAACTCGGTTTACCGCTTCGCTACTGAATTCAAATAATCAATCACGAGTGTTTTCATTTATCGCCATAATCCTAATAATTATTGAGTCAATTTTTCATTGGCATTCTGCATCGAAAAACGTGAATTGCGGACGCCTCGAACTGGAGTAAAAATTCCCTAAAAATCCTGGACAGTTCCCAGATCTTCATCCGCCGTGGCCCCGACAATCGTCAAAAATGAAATTCATCACCGAATGCATCAAAATAATTTCGCCCTCCCTTCACCAACCAACTTCGTTTATCGCTGATCCATTAGTCTGCCTCCCCAAGCCAACAAAAGGCTCACGATTTGCCTACCGCCCATCAGATAACGCTGATACACATACACAAAAATGACAATGAGGTGTAAATGGGGGAGTAAGAGTTTCTAGGGAGACAGAACCGGCGGGGGGGCATGATTTTACTCGATGGGTTCTCATCACGTTTCGCCCCTCGTTACAACCTGCAACGCGGATATAATACAGCCCGTTGGGGATAAGCGAGACGCGTGTCCGACGTTATTATCGTCCCACTCTCCCTCAACCCTCTGCATGTCCTCCGAATAACATGACGCCTGACGCTATCGACGGGGAAAAAATTCTGGCGAATGAAGGGACATTGGAGGAATTCATATTGACGTTGTTGAACAAAATACCGCGTTCGCAGAGGCTGTGGTGCGTGGTTTATCGTGGGAAACGGGCGTTCTGAATATATTAATCTGTGGGGATTATTACTAGTGCTGGGAGAACTGTTTGAATGAAGTGAATGGAATGAGTCAATGATTTGTTGATTGATATTATCGGATCCACAAGAGGTGCGACGATTTTTTCAAGGGCCTTGTTCGGAGAAAATAACCCAGAGAAATTATTTACTGGAAATTATTAGTTAATCAATCAATCAATCGATTCAATCAAGATTTCATTTGAATGAAATCGACGAATTTATGAATAATAACTCGAATAAAGCTTTTATTCACGTCAGATGATTGTTGCTCAAGGAATTGATTATTTATTGAATTTAATTAGAACATTAACATTGGAATGAACGAATAAGTTTATTAATTGTCAGCAAAAATACTGTTGAAATGAATAGAAAAATTTCAAATGAATTTTATATGATTCAAATGTATTATTTCGGCGACATTGAACAATTGCAGGATTATATTATGCCCCCCTGTAGGGGCTATTGTCAAATGAAAAATCACGATATCATAATTTTCGATTCAACTAATTTCAAAACGATATGATTTCAATTGAATCACGATAATCGCCATTTTTTATTTCCCAAATACGCTCCATGAACGGCCAATTTTATCACACTTCTTCTGTATTGAACCTGAAAACCTCCAATTTCCACATGAGAGAGTCGCAAAATTATTGAAAACCTCAAAAAAGCCCCTATTTCCATGAAAAAAAAAAATATTACATCCATTTGGATGTTACCTCCATAAACTATCATGCCACTGGATATTCCCATTCCCGGGGCCCATTGTTCTTGAGCATCGGTGCGTCAGAAACACGAGCATGAATGCATGAAAGCATCCAATATGGCTTGTCACGTTAAAGTGGACGTGAATTCATGCCAAGTTTCCCTGCAAATCTATTCACCTAAAATTCGAGAAATTAAATTGTCATTTGATTTTCCACAGGATATGCCAGGGAGAGACGTAGGAATTATTATGGCGCTGAGATTGGTAGACTGAGGGTCTATGCCCATGGAATAACGGGGACGGTCTATGCAATTGACGAGACAACAATGTTCATCAAGGGATTTTCGTACGATGGGAATGCCCCGGACGCATTCTTCTGGATTGGAGACAGCCAGAGACCTAGTCCTGAGGGTGACATTGTCCCGTATCCGGAGGATTACCCTGGCAGGTCAGCGAAAATTCCTGAATTATCATTTTGAACGCAGAAAAAAGTTTTTAAAATATTGTAGATCAGTCGAAATTAAACTTCGGTTTCTACGAATGTGAGTACAGGCCTCCGCTTCGGCTCTAATGTACTATTATTGCTCAGAAGATGTCAGTTATTTTGAGAAATCTATTACCAATTGATTATCAGTGATTGTTATCACTGAAATTTGGCGAGAAATTCCTCAAAATTAGAGATAGGTCCCTGAAAATCGGTAACATGATTCTCAAAATTAGCGAACACTCCCTGAACACTCGTGGCAATATCCCTAAATTTCACAATCGCAAATATGACAATTGAGGATTATTCAAATTCCTGAAAATTAATGACATGTGCCTGGAAATTAATTTTATTTTCCTCCTTAAATATTTGAAAGGCGTGAGGGAATTGACATTCTGTGAGTGAAATCGATGGAGAGCTGAAAAGTCAATGAAAAAATTGGAATTTTAAAAGATTGCTGACTCACAGTCCAAAATATGTACTATCAAAATTTTTTTGCTATAATTATCGACACATTTTTTGGAAATTTTCATCAACTAACAGTTCCACTGAAATTCGGGGAAATTTCGTCGTTAAAAATTCACAATTTAAATTAGAATTCAATTATCTCATGAATTTCGTACTGACGATTCACGTTTTACTCCTGCTGCTACAAAAAATTATTATTATTATTATTCTCAAATTATTATTATTTCATTCCAATAGAGAATTCATTTCGAATCAATTAATGACCCCACATAATTAAAATATTTTCATAGAAATAAAAAAATCAATTCAGAAATTTCCCCCAAAAAATTCCAAATAAAAAGCTTTTATTTAATTAGAAATAGTTGTTTTTCCGAGTGTAGTTATCAAATCTCGACATTTTCTCTACATTCACACCGAGGATTAGGATTTCGCCCGTGAGTTGATCCAAAACTCCCGAAATATTGTTTCCAATATCTGAACAACTCCAGGGAATACAGGGATTCCCGAATTTTTTTCCCTCGAGTTCGGTGAGAGATCGATTTCCACGAGCCTCCGCCCTCTCTGAGTAAACATTTCAAGGCCTTTCCAGCCACCCTCGTCGCGATTCCCTGACTATTGCTATCGGAAAACCATTCGCTTTCAACGAGTGCTGAGACTTTAAAGGGAAGAATCAATTTTTATTTGTACGTGAGTTATTTTGCTCTCTCGGTTACAGGGATCCACCAGTTCTCAAGGCTTACAACAATACTGACGTTATCCTCAGACTACCGCAGGGAAAGAGGATAAGGGATATCAAGTGGCTCAGCGTCTGGTGCAGAAGATTCACGGTGAGTTTTGTTTATTCATGATAATATACGTTTTTTTCCTCAATTCACAAGTTACAACATTGAATGAAGAGGAGATATGTTGAAGATCAATGAAAATGGATTTTTTTCTTCTCTTACGTCGGCAGGAACTTCAAATCCCTTCTTTTCCTCAATTATTAGAGGGATATTAATATTTCAGCGAGGAAAAATTCAAAAAATGTAAAAAACAGTGGGCAGCAAGAACTAAAAATTTCATCTTTCAATCTCTTCGTAAAGCTTTAAAATCGATATATTTTTCGAATAATAGATGAATACCCAAATTCGATTTCCATCCTTGTCTTTTAACAGAATGAATAGAAGAAATGACAGAAATTGAGAATTGGAGATTAAAAATTTTCTCAGATTACTATTATGTAATTTAAAATTAATTTGAAATGACACAAAGACCGTTCTCGCCCATCTTCACAAGAGGAAACACGGCAACAAAAAATTTTTCAATTACACATATTCAAACTTTTCGCAAATAGAATTTTTGAATCGCTATTTTTTATCGATCTACGATAACATTTTTCCCGAGTAATGAATGATATTTCCATGATATTTCCATGACACATGATGTCTCTTGCGTAAGAGAAGCTACTGTCCCCCAGAGCAAGAGAATTCCCAGGAGACCTCCTCCATTATCAGCTTCATGTAATTGTTTCCTCTCGAACGATGGAACCCTCGATGAAGATAGACGACATTGCCAAGTACACATTCTTCTTCCTCGAAGGCTCCTCTCGCAATTACGGTATTACATCTACATTCTCGGGTGGATTATAAAATTGAAAAGAAATTATCGCCCGAGCCCCCGCCCGGGGGGGGGGGAGGGGTACCATAATTCATGCATCATTCAGAATCACCTGACACTCAGAAAATCCATTATTTCAGTATTCTCATCACGAACTCACTTAGGATGCCCTCAGCATCCTCCAGCCTTCATTAACACTTTTTTTCGTTGTCAAACAAGACCGAAAATCTCTGCAGAATATATTTTTCTTTCGTGCTATGTAAATGGGAGGAGAATATTCTCTAATTAAGCATTTAAGGGGAGGTTGCTATGAGTTTTAAAAGTCGCGGGCTATTGGAATATGATTTCTCATACATTGAAGATCGATTATATGTCGAAAAATGAATAATTAGTGCTAAAAAATTGATTGTTTATTGTTTGTTTGCCCCGCAGACGCTGAACATGTTAAAAATAGTCCAGAGCCTCTAATTTTTCAGCTACAGAGGTTTCTTTTTTTTCAAAATTTTAGAAAAAATGTGTACGATAACAATTACGAATTGATTTTTTTTTAATCGGCTCCTACACAGCTAATTTCGTAATTTTTTAAATAAAAAATTGCGCCATTCATGTAGAATAGCCAGAAAAATGTTTCTATTCATTTAAAAATTGCGGCAATATTGAATGCAATAAATCATCGAATTAAAGTTCAAATACATCACAGAAATGCGTCACAGAATTTCCATTCGGAAGCAAATTGCCAATTTATTATGTCATTATTAAAATTACCAGTTAAAATTGATAGTTTCTAATTTATTATTTATTTATTGAATCAATTTTTCATTGGCATTCTGCGTCGACGAACGAAGATGCTTGATCAAATTATCGCAACATAAAACTCAACTCCGAATCATTAAAGAGCTTAACCATCGTTAATTCCTGATCCCAGCGTGATAACCGGATTTTTGGAAGAAGCCGTGGAGATGAATAGAGCCCCAAGGGGGTGGAATTGAGATGAAAAGGGCTAGGCCGAATATCGTTGGGGACGGCTACATTCGTGGTCAATGACGCGTGCCGGATGGATATGGCGCCCCGGGGCATGAGGGATCCCCCCTTTATTCCGCGCATGGAGTCTCGCAAGATGCCCAGCATCCAGTTATTTAACATGAAGAAACGGAATCGTGTGCTTTTTCCTCTCGGAAGCGGGGGAATTCGCTGAGCGTGACGAGCTCTGTCATACAACAATGAACAATGCTGTCGGAAAACCTTCATCCACGTCCGTGAAATACTCCCGCAACATTTCAGCGTGGAATAATCAAAATAACCGACATTGACGTGATCATAATTGGAAAATCAAAAGTTTTTGAAATTTACGTAACAGGTGCATTTCAATTTTCAATATTCGGAATTTGAATTCAATTTCAGTTGAAATGAGGTTTTTCACTATGACTGATCATTGAATCTTCATTGAAAATTTGGATTGTCACACCTATCGCGAAAATGAAGCATTACGTTCAATTGAATTTTCAAGAGATTAAAAATTCAGAAGAAAAGTTGTCGGAATTTCCACGATTTTCAGTAATTTTCATTGTCGTATGAAACTGAGAAATCAAATTTTATTGAATATTCAAGAAAATTGGCTGATTTATTAATAACAAGATCCAAGAGTAATTTTCTACCAGTGTAGTATTGTAATCGTGAAAATTCAATTGAAGCATTACATTCAATTGAATTTTCAAGAGATTAAAAATTCAGAAGAAAAGTTGTCGGAATTTCCACGATTTTCAGTAATTTTCATTGTCGTATGAACCTGAGAAATCAAATTTCATTGAATATTCAAGAAAATTGGCTGATTTATTAATAACAAGATCCAAGAGTAATTTTCTAACAGTGTAGTAGTGTAACCGTTCTGTAATTTCTTTAATCAATAAAATCAATGAATAAAAAATAATAAATCAATAAAAAGATGATTTTTTTTTATCAATAAAAAATAAAATCATCAATAGAAAAATCATGGAGACTAAATTTGATCAAAAGTACTGCTTATTAATTATGACAGCCCAGTTTTAATTGATTATAAAATACAATGATGAACGAGGCTGTCAGAAAAGCTTCATCCCCCGTCCGTGAAATACCCCGGGAATATGTCAGCGTAGAATAATAAAAATATCCGACATTGACGTGATCATAACTGAAAAATCAAAAGGAGCAATTTTGAGAGTTTCGACGATGGGATATCAAGTAGCCGTCTGTCAATCAGGCTCTCCCCGCGCCATGAGGAAGATGAAGCGAAGTGTATTGTTGTGGATAAGCCGGGAGAGAACGTCGATGGGTAAAATGTTGGGGGGAGTGGAAGAAAGAGAGATCTCGAGTGAAATCCTGCGATATTTTCCTTTGAAGAAAGGCAGAGATTCATCGGGTGGAGATATCGAGTCCGAGTGGGATGTATGAATTGAATCCAATGGATAGAGTATTCTTGGGATGTGGGAGGGGTCAGGTGCTCTCTGAAACTGTCTTTTCTACGCTTTTCAGTGGTCTGAGGAATGCAAAAAGGAAATTTTCTCTATTTATTGAAGGCTAATTCACAAGAGTGTGCATTCTACCCCGTTTGCACTTGAATTTAATTAAATAAACATCATATTCTGATTCCTGAACCCAGAATTAATCATCCTAACACGAAAAACTAGAAAATTTAATTTTGAGGAATACAATAATTCCATTCGGAAGCAAAAAAAATCGAAACATTTTCTTATTACAAATGAATACATAAATGAGAATTGTTTAAAAAATAGTTTGAAACTCTAATTATGAGAAATTTTATGTCAATTAATTGGGAGATAATGAAGTATTCCTCAAAAATTGCAATTGGGTTATCATTTTATGATGAAAAAAAAATACTTCCCAATTTTATTTCACAGTTTTTTCATTTCACACTCAGAGAAATGCTGTATTTGAATTACACGAATGTGTTTATTCAAATACTCTTGATTTTTACTTTCCTTTTTCTTCACATCAAATAATAATTCCGTAAACATCAACAAATATGTTCTGAAATTCCCAAAAGTCCGTTTTACCCCGTTTTCACCCCAATTAAATTTTGCAAAAAAAACCTTCCCCCACCCGCGACTACACCAACCAAAGCAAACCAAACAAAAATAAAATTAAATAATCCCAAATGCCCCAAAGAATCTCCGTATCAGACCGTCTGCCAAATTCTCATCTGCTTACAGTCCTCCAACAGTATTAGAGTCCTCTGCAAACGTCGGCACCCTTCATCAATGGTGACGCGTTAATTAAGCATTGTCGTTGGGTAGCTTTCGCCGGGGCAAACCCCAACTCCCTTAGACTCGGTGTAAGAGGAACAGAGACACTGTACGCCCCATGGTAAACTGTTGGTGGCATCCAAGTGGACCCAGGAAGCAACGCCCCCTTTTGCACTGTCTCATCTGCACTATAATAACACTCTACGTTTCATCGGAAAACCATTCCCCTCTCATACCCACGTTCCACTAAACTCTCGTGAGTATATTCCGGCGGGGGTGGCTGGATGGGTGGTTACGTACCGATATTAATAACCGGAGGCGTGTTACCGTACTCCTCGGTTGTATACACTTATTACGGATTTCAAATTTTGAGTTAATTGATTATTGCTTCGGGAATTTTCATTGGGGAGGTGGGGGTTGTTGACTGGTGATGTGTGGGAGGCTTATGAAAATCAAAATAATAATAATAATAATAATAATAATAATAATAATAATAATAATAATAATAATTCTTTTTAGTTATTATTATTATTATTATAAATAAATAAATAAAAAGAAAGGTATGATCTTCAGGAAAATATGAATATATTCTGAATTCCGTGGAAAAATCAAACAGAACTGTAAATTTCCGTTCCATTTTTCCCCGAAAATAAATAGGAAACCAGAAAATTCTGGAATTTTACTGAATTTTCAGTGAAACCTGAAATTTCATGATTTTTTCCCCTAAATCGCATTGAGTGTCACTGTCCTGAAATCAGGACAGTGTATAATTTGGATCTTCAACACTTTGAATAATGAAATTACTGCAAAATATTCTGCAACCTGGATCTAATGGGTTTTGAATGCTCGAACATTCAACTAAAAATGCTGGATTTTAACGAAGAAAAATAACATTAACCACCAATTCTCACATGAAAAAATCATCTTCACAAAAATACGAATATTCAAGAAGTGAAAGAGTAATGACTCGGCCAACTAAAATCCCTATTAAT